CCTACATATTTTCCGCTAGACACCACACTAATCGATCCTACCTTATATCGGAGACTTACAGGATCTCTCCAATATCTAACGCTCACCCGACCGGATATTGCATACAGTGTTAACCTACTATCGCAACATATGCATGATCCATCACCTCGTCATGCCTTTTTCTCAAATGACTTCTTCATTATATAAAAGGTATGTTAAATTTCGGTTTACCTATAGCAAAATCTAACTTTCACCTTACTTCGTTTTCAGACACTGATTGGACTGGGGATCCAAATTCAAGAAAATCCACATCCGGGTACTGCTCTTTTCTAGGATACACATTAATATCTTGGACTGTTAAAAAGCAGCATACCATTGCTCGATCTTCGACTCGATCTTCGACCGAATAGGAATATCGAGCACTAGCAGCCCTCACAGCAGACGTCATCTGGATACGTAAAATTACTAGCAAAATTTGGAGTTCCTCAAACACAACCAACGGATATCTACTGCGACAACATGTCAGCTATCGCTTTAGCAAACAATCCGGTGTTCCATGCTCGTACCAAACACATTGAAATAGATCAACGATTTGTACGAGATCACATACAGAACAAGAACATTCGCATCTATCCAATCAATACTATGGATCAAATTGCTGATATTTTTACAAAGCCTCTTCCAACTATGAGATTTCAAACTTTGAGACTCAAGCTAACAGTCACAGAGAACCTTTCAGCTTGCGGGGAGATATTAGCAGATACATCTAAGATATTAAAACAAAACAAATACGTGGCTTAATAGGATTGGATAGGATAGTAAATTGTTCTGTAAAAAGCCTATATATAGGCACCGCCGGTACACAGAAAACACATCATAAATAATATTTTCCTTTTCCCTGTTATGTCTTTACTTTACGTTTTCCTTTCTCTGTCTCCGTGAGCTCAGTTCAAGAACTGGCAACTTCTTCATTTTCATCATAGCATGTGCTTTGTTTCTTTATTTAGGAAAGCCATTCTATTTAATTTTGTTATTTAAATTTTTTCCTTTTTGGCTTGGGTTTCTCTATCTCAAATATTATATCCACGCTTTGAGTGATTTCTCGCATACGCAACAAAAACTCTAGCAAGGCGGAGAGCAAAAGACCCATGCAGCAGAAAATTTGGGCAATTAGGCTATCAAACAGATGAGGAACTATAAGTACAATCATCAAACTGCAATGAACTACATAAATAAAAGTACAAATATCGAACTATAATATGTTAAGTGAAAAGTGGAGCAACATCTTCATCTTCTCAAAACGAACCCAAGGCTCCTCTTTGAATGCAAAGATTGTCTTCTTGATCTGAATGCAAAGCTTCTCTTCACAAGCCAAATGCAATCACCGATCATAGCTCCTTCCTTAATCAATAACAGAGAAGCTTCTCTGCGCCTTCACTATTTGGTAACTTGAACATATTTCTTGCTCGATCGAGCAAGAATTTTTTAAGTCTCAACCATATATGTTTATCTTCTCTGCTAGAAGCAACAAATTCACTTTATCTTCTTTCCATCTGTTGGCTGTTTCACTTCATGTGATTTTACTATAGCATTTTCTTCTTTTAATTTACCTCAACTTTTTTTTTTGTTATATAGCAAAACCTAATTTTATCTTCTATAATTTGCAAAACTATCATCTTATTATTTAATAAAAATATTAAGCCATATTATTCCGCACTTATATCTATTAGCTATAAAAAAAAAAAGAAAAATGACTTATTTAGATTAGAATTTTAGAAAAGTTATCACATGAAAATATGCTGTCTTGGCAAAGGTGCTGGCTTATGATATCCTAAAACTTTGTTTTTTACAAACTTATTTTCGATAAGGTGCTGGCTTTCTTAAGACACAAACTAATGATGTGAAAGCTAATGGGATGTGCACATCATTAGCTTATTCCAACTATTTGAGGTAGGCTTTAAATCAAGTTATTTAATAGAGATAGGTATTAAAGAAAACAGTGAATACTTGTTGCCTTTATGATGCTTCATTTGTAGGTACACTTTTAATAAGAAATACATAAACTGAACAAGCAGAAAAAATAACATAGACATTTCAGCCCAGGTATCAATAGGCTGCTCCTAGCAAATAAAAATCTGTTAGAATCTAGTAAAGAAGGAAACGAATGCTTATATACCAAAGAAACCTTTAAGAAGGGCAATCTTTAAAGAAAATATACTATGAATTTATCATCTAATAGTGAAAGTTTCCATATGGATGCTTTACTGGCAGTCAAAAAAGTTAGCTACCAATCGCAGTTTTAATATCTATGATAAACACTTCCTAAAATAAAGCAGTACTGAATAAGTGTTACAATGCTTGCTTCATATTTATCACTTCACTATAGAAAAAAATTGAGTACAAAACTTTTATAAAGTTACCAAAAAAGGGATTTTTATATTGCTAAATGGAAAAAGGATGACATCCAAATAAAAAATATTACCTATATGCAGCATCATTAGACTCAAACCCAATAAATGCGAAGCCCCTACAGATAGGATCCCTGGTCTTTCTATTTCCAGTAACAGCAGGGTTTATATATATAATACCAGGAAATCCTTTGAAAGCCTTCCACAAATCTCTGTCAATATTCTTTTTCTTCGGAAGATTCCACACACGTACTTCTGGATCAGTTTTTATGACCTCAGTAACTGCAAATCTCCAAAACAAAACTAATAATTTAGCTGTAGTCATAAATTTTGTCAAAACTAGCCAAATATATTATAATTTGAACATATGATTCACGCCAGTGGGCCTATTTTCTATCTGGGTAAGAGAAAGAAGAAGAATTGGCGATAAAGGAAGATTTTGGATAAGTACCTGAAACATTAGGGAATAAGTTAATGAAAAGCTTTAAAAAAAGTAAGAGGATGCACAAAAAATGATCGAATGGACTCAACATGCTAGGAAGTTAGCTATTTGGAATGGTACAATGCTAAAAATTATACGAATTCTAATAGCTCTTTATCGAATTAAAAAGTTTAATTCAGCATAAAAGAAGGGAAAAATCTAATGCTGATCAAAGTTGTGTTTGTTGTGGAGGAGGAAGGATTACAATTTGGATACCAAATTCAATTCTAAACTTGGGTTGCTAGCATAAGAATGACTATGAACGCATTAATTCATTTAAAACAATAATTTTAAACTATGGAGCTGTTCGAAGTGAGCCATATGACACTTCTTTGTAGCAGCAGGAAAACAGCAAGGCACTAGCATTCTGTACTGAACTAATATTATCATATCTGTATTTGACATCAAAGGAGAAGAAATCGGAGAAAAAAAGTGAGCATGGCATACATAGTTTTTGAAGCCTTCATTATGAAGCTAAATCCACAAGAGTTGGAGTAAAATAAAAAAAGATTAAGCATTGGAAAAAATGTCTTAAATCTGTAACTAGTTTTAAACAATTGCATATTATGATGAGAAGTAATGTACCAATGAATGCAGCAAATTCTTGTATCTAATAATAGAAACTATCATTTCTGGGCTAGCAATATGCCAATTCTATCAGGTTTCGTATTGGCTGAATTCAGCACACTCATGTTTTATCAATGTTACTTCCTAGTAAGATCGTTAGCATATTAACAAAAAATGTTCACGAAATTTACCATATGTGTGAAGAGACTGAGAGCAACAGAGAAAACGCACAGGAGACTGAACAGAGTAGAAAGGAAGAAAGGAAAATGAGAAGAAAAGATAAATTCTGTATAGTAGTTCTGTGAGATACAAATGATATATATAGACAGAGTATTGGTATAAAGGTAAATATTACAAATAACTGAACCATATGCTTATAGCCTCCCTCAAATTAATCATTCGTGGAACGAATGGTTAATTTGGAGCGAAGAAAATTAAAGCGAGTTCGAGCAAACAGTTTAGTTAAAATATCTGCAATTTGTTCTTGAGAGGGTATGTGCTGAATGTGGATGGCGCCGGAAGAAATGTGTTGTCGGATAAAATGGTAATCGATCTCGATGTGCTTTGTCCGTGCGTGGAAGACGGGATTCTTGGCAATGGCTATTGCGGAGACATTGTCACAATGGATCGTTGTAGGCGCTATTTGATCGAGTTTGAGTTCTGTGGTGAGACGTCTGAGCCACAAAACCTCTGAAGTAGCGGCGGATAAGGCCCTATATTCGGCCTCGGTAGAGGACTTGGCAACAGTTGCTTGTTTCTTTACGGACCAGGAGACCAAATTTGGTCCTAAAAAAGTGCAGTAACCAGAAACAGACTTTCGGTCGGACTGATCAGAAGGCCAGTCCGCGTCTGTGAATGTTTGAAGTTGAGTGCCACCGGGTCTGATAGGAAGCCCGAACTGTGCAGTATCGTTTACGTACCGAAGGATACGTTTCAGGTTCTGGAAATCTTGTGTCGTGGGTTGTTGCATATGTTGACAAGCCCGATTAGTTGCAAAGGCTATATCCGGCCGAGTTATAGAAAGATATTGCAGTGATCCTGCAAGCCGACGATATAGCTGAGGATCATGAAAAGGTTGAGTGTTTATATGTCTGTTTGTAGAAGCAGGAACAATAGGTGTGGGTGCCGCCTTGCATTGCTCAAAACCGGCTTCCTGGATGAGCTTGTTGGCGTAATGTTCTTGTGTTAGGAAGAAGCCGTTGGGTGTTTGTAGGACTTGAATTCCTAGAAAGAGGGATATCTCTCCAAACTGTTTGAGAGCAAAGTTTGAGTTGAGATCGGCAAGCAGCGTTTGAATGCTTGATGAATCGTTACCTGTTACAAGAATATCATCGACGTAGATTAAGAGATATATTAGAATGTGATTCTTTGAAAAGATGAGAAGAGAGGGGTCGGAGCGACTAAACCCGAAACCACGTGACAGCAAAAAACTTGTGAATTTCTGAAACCATTGTCGCGGTGCCTGTTTGAGGCCGTAGAGGGATTTGTGTAATTTGCATACTAGGTTTGGTTGACTTGTATCTTCAAAACCGGGTGGTTGACGCATGTAAATGTCATCGGGAAGATCACCGTGCAGGAAAGGCATTTGAGACATCCAGTTGGAGCATTTTCCTCCTACGATTGACGACAAGGATGAGGACGATCCGTATGGTTGTCATCTTCGCAACTGGACTGAATGTTTCGGTGTAATTTTCACCGTAAGTTTGGTTGTATCCGAGAGCTACGAGTCTTGCTTTGTAACGATCCAGCTTGCCCGTTGGATGCATTTTGGTTTTGTAAGTCCATTTGCATCCTAGTATAGGTTTGTTTGGAGGAACGGGTACAAGAGACCATGTCTGTTGTTTATGGAGAGCGTTTATTTCTTCTTGCATAGCTATCTGCCAATGTGGATGCTTGGACGCCTGTTTATATGTCAGAGGTGTAGAGTTGTTATCAGCAGAGCAGGTAAGGCTGAGGATCTGCTTTGGCTTGAATATGCCCGCCTTTGATCTTATTATCATGGGATGCGGTTGTGACGGTTGCTGCTGAGCGTGACCAGTATCGGGTTCGGTAGGAGCGGTGAGCAGAGGAGTGGTATGGATGGAGGCCGTGGGTTGAGAGGTGTTAAGATTAGGAGGGGAATAAGATGAGGTTTGATCAGAAGTGATAGTGGGAGGAATTGTGGATGCTGGGACAAGAAGGTTGGGACAAATGGGTTGCGGTGTAGTTGTCTGAGGAGGGTTGGGTTGATGCAAGCTAGAGTAAGGATAACTGGCTTCATAAAAGACGACGTGGCGGGAGAGATAGGTTTTGTGGTTTTCCAGGTTGTAACATTTGTACCCCTTGTGATGTGGAGAGTAACCAAGGAAGATACATTGTTGAGAACGAGGTTGAAGTTTATTTGTTGTGTAAGGTTTTAGCCACGGATAACAAAGGCAGCCGAACGGGCAAAGATGGGAATATGAGGGAGGTTTATTGTACAGAGCTTTATGAGGAGAATTGCTGTTAAAAGATTTGGAGGGAAGAAGATTTATAATGTAGTTTGCGGTGGCATTGAATTGAATGAGTTTAAAAGTTTAAAGGCATTGATCCGGTTAAATGGGTTGAAATGACCCATTTGAACTCTTAAGGGCTCATTAGGTCAATCTTTGTTGACTTGGTCAATCAGGTGGGTCCAGGGTCTGAAAATGGGTTTAATCAATTTGAAATGATATTTTGAGTCTATTGGAAGTGGTTCCAGGATTTATGGGATTTGATTTGGCTAAATGGGCCTTATTGGGCCCATTAAGGGTCATCTGGGTCAAAATTGGTTGACCTAGTCAACCAGGTTGACTCAGAGGCTGGGGTCAGGTTCAACAGGTTTGAAATGACATTCTAAAACCAATGGAAGTGGTCCCATGGTCTAAAGAGGTCATTTGGGTCAGAACACCTATTTGAACCCTTAAAGGGCCATTTTGGTCAACTATGTTGACTTGGTCAACCAGGTTGACCCAGGATCTGGGAATGAGTTCAACAGGTTTGGTTTAATATTTGAAACTTGCTGGAAGTGATTGTATTCAATTTGGAGGTCGTTTGGTTTGAAATCACTATTTTGGTCTCTTAAGGGTATTTTGGTCAAAAAGGTCGATTTGGCCAAAAAGGCTTGATCAGGGTCAGGGACTGGGTTCAATGCACTTCTAATGATGATTAGGATGCATTGGGACAGGTTCTGGAGTTTAATTTGATAAGGGCATATTGAAATTTTTGAAAACTTCAATATTTCCCTTAAAAGGTGATTTGGACTTTTGACCCATAGCCTACTAGGGGCCAGGTTGGGTCTACCAAGATGCAGTTTAATGTTCAATGGGTTATAATCAAGGGTCTGGAGGTGACTAGAGGCTTTGGGGAAAGCCCTGTAGTCAAGAATTCAACGAATAGCAAGTCCAGTGGCATAGGCTGTAAATATTTGAAGGTTTTGCAGCCTTTGGATCTTGATTTAGTAACTGGGGTTAGAGAGCTCAGAATGGGCTCAAATTTGGAGGGTAGCCTCTAGAGACATGTCTCATCAATATGCAACTGACAAACCCTGAATCAGAGGCCATTTGACAGGGTTTTGAAGTGTTTGAAAATTCAGTGGAAAAGGCTTTTAGGACAAAGCCTTTGGACTTGAAGTTTGAATCTGGATTTTTGAATTTGGGCTGGATTTTGGGTTTGAATGATTGAACTTGAGCTATTTAATTCATTTATGATCATTTGAATGATCATAATTGATTGGATAGGTTTGATGTTAGATCAAAGGTATGATCTAGGCAGAATACTGGATTCTGAACTGGACTGAGGTCTGGATCTTGATTAAGGATTGGATTGAATTGAAATCTGGATTGGATTAGAGTCAGGATTGATTTGAAGTCTAGATTGATATGGGATTTGAATTGATCTTAAGGTCTGGATAGATCTTAGGTCTAGGAAATTCCTAAGGCCTAAGAAGATTACAGGGTCTGGATCTAGAAGAGTCTTAGGGTCTAGAATAGGTCCTAAGATCTGAAGTCTAAAAGGGTCCTAAGATCTAGAATAGATCCTAGGGTCTGGATCTATCTGGAAGAGTCCTAAGATCTAGAATAGATCCTAAGGCCTAGATCTAAAAGAATCCTAGGGATCAGATTGATCATAAGATCTAAGGTCTGGATTAATGTAGGGTCAGGATTGGTCCAGGTGACCTCATACAAAAATGAGGTCAACAGTGCAATTTCCATATAATCGAAGAATGCTTCAACAGCGCGCTCCCAATCCAAGTAATCTTCGATATGTAGTCGCCCATCGAAGAATGGAATATCCAATTTAATATGGAATTCGCCGTGTTGACGCTGTTGTACTGGGTACCGTCGAGGTTGCTCATAGTAATTTGTTCTATCTCCTTCCGCTGAATCGGACACTTCCAGTGCTTGTTGCAATTCATCATCCTCCTCTGAATCCGAAATAGCCGGAACAGTTGTATGGAATCGACGATCGCTGTATGGATGCAGTGCCGGTGTGGTTGTCGGCGCGACTGGCCTACCCAACGGGGGTTGTGTTTGATTCATCCTCAGGGATCGAATCTCGGTCCGCATTTCTGCAGAGAATCAGAAAAACTCGGGGGTGATCGTTTCCAGTTGACGGGCGATGTTCGCTTGCGTCACCCACATTCCCTCCAAGCTGTGATCCTCCTCGACTGTCGGACGTTTTCTTCCTTCCGCCATTAAGCTCGAAACCGAGCTCTGATACCAAATGGTGTGGGAACCTTAGTAACCTGCAAGAACACAGAAAAACAGAGAAGATCTAAAGAAAGAAAGAAGAACAGGAAGAAGGGAATTGGAGGTATGAGGAATAGCTTCAGCTAATAATATTCATTTTCTATTTGGTTTCTTCTCCCTTCTACTACATATATCATTCTCTACTATTAGGAAATTAACTGAGAAAAAGAAAATGCTGAGTTGGCCACTAACTGGCACATGGCAGTGAATACAGAGAATAATCATAGTACTAAAAGTAATTGGGGAAATGGAGGTCGTAGGTTGTTGGGCGGCTTGGTGTGCTATCTTCGGGACCTGGATAACTCACATCAAGATTGTCGAAGCCTAGACTGGTTTCTCACTATTTATGGTAAGCGCAGGGCGGGAAAATAGTATGGAAGGTTGTTTCTGTAATCTGCGAGGGATTGAGCAGAGAAGAGTTTCGGATTTGGGAGCAGAGTGGCCATGGATTGCAACTCTTCTCCTGCGAAGAGATTTATCTAGTCGAGTCTTACACACTGGAAAATGATCACTGACCCGACATTCACCCGTTCTGATAACACGACAACTAACCCGTAAAATATTAGCTTGTGCAAAATGAGACTTTTGGGGGTTATTTTTTCATTCGATTACAATTTTTTTTATTTTCATAATTTTATTAAAATATAAAACATTATACTAGTTTTAATTTGAGTGACACGACATTTTAATATCTGCATTCTATTATTATGTCGCTTACTAGGCTCTTATTATTAATATTTTATGTTAAATAAAAATCATAATAAGTTGTAATATTTTACTTCATGAGCTGATGCTATAACCCATAATTAAAGTTGTTATAGAAAATTCATGGTAATAGACAAAAGGATTTTTACGTCTTAGTTTTTTAAAATATTTAACACATTCACATATAATAAAAAAATAAAATGAGAGATACTACAAAATTTTTACATAGAAAATTATAAAAATTAGAAAATACTATATATAGCCTAGATGAAATGATCCACTATATAGATATCTTATGAAAATTCTCTCTTCCCCTTGATTAAAGAAAATGGGATCACAAAGTCTATTATAAAAGTTTACATTGTTGTAGATGCGAAGGAGAATTCTTCATATGTAGTAGTTGAAAGGCATATATAGTAGTTGAAAGGTGTTGGTCGGACGATAATGATCAGATGGACAATGGCAATGTGATGATAGTTAAGAGTGATGATAGTCAAATGAAGGCAGTAGGATCACTATGAATTGATTATGATGATCAGGCAGCAATAATGTATGTCAATGGCAATCAGGAGAGAATAGTCAAACGATGGTAGTCAAATGATAGTGATCAGAAAATGACAATCAAGCGACGGTAATGATTAGTGGTGATCATCGAGATCAAACGCCAAGTAAGCTCTATAGCTCTTTATATCTTCAGGCTCTCTATAAGCTCAAGTTTAAAAACCTTTATGTGGCGATTGTGGGGCTATTTATCGTACTTTCAAAATGGATATTTTGGTATATTAAAAAAAATCTATGACATTCCATTGTATAACTCATATCGAATTGTTTGATCAAAGATTGTTTATTCGTCATTTAAGTACTTTAATGACCTTGGAAGCAATTGATCTTGGATTTCTTGGATTCATCTTGTCAAGTTGCTCGTTTTGACTATAAGCAGGCGACACTATTCGAAGACAGCTTGATCTTTCAATTAATGTCCTAAAGTTTATAATTATCCTTCAAGTGCTTGATTTTGGACTTGGAGCAGATCATATTTATTCTTTAGTGTTATATGCATGGTTTTGAAAACTGGACCGAACCAACTAGTTCAATCGTGAATAAATCAAATGGTTGATTTGGCCCGTCTTAAAAACTGTCCCAGTATCAAATTGGTGTGAACATATTTGAACCGTCGGTTCAATTAGTTCAGTTCTTTTGAAGCATTATTTCTTATCATTTTCTCTTCTACACTGAGTCTATTGGTTCACACCTTTTATTATTTCTATAATGTTGGGCTGCCTTCTGTATGTATTCCAACTTCTTCTCATGTTCCACGTGAAGGATCGAGCAGTAAAAACTGACAGCAACCCATATCTCCTCACCTTGCTTATTGTTGGTTCAATGTAGTAGTTAGAGCTTAGCAACATATATATGCAACCCACAAGCATGCACCTCAATGATCAGCTTGAACAATGTCGCTATTACTTCTTGCACTACAAAAAAATCACCAATTACTGGCAGTTTATAAACCGTTGGAATAAACCGTGTAGGAAATGAAAACCGGC